AGCTGTCACCAAGTCCCACAGGTGGTGGAGGAAATCCGGGAAGTCCTCAGGATGCCAGAAGCTGAAAGTCCACGATCACCGTGTGGTGGGCTGGCTTCGGCTGAGCTTCCCTGGTTTGCTGATGGCCCCCCCCCTGGGGTCTTCACGTGGTCCCCCTTCTGTGCACTTAAACGTCTGTGTCCTCATCTTTACTGTAGAACCCCAGTCCTTTTGACTTAGTCACCGCTAGATGCCCATCTCTAAATGCAGTCCCATTCTGAGGGCCTGAGGGTTAGGACTTCATCAAATGAGTTTCGGGGAGACCCAATTCAGCCCCACGAGGCAGCGGGGAGGAGGTTTAGTACGAGGGGGGTGCAGGGAGGAGAAGGCAATTTTCTAACCCACCTGAGGGAGTGAAAGAAGCAGCCCCGGGAAGCCACCTTCCCAGCTCCGCAGCCCCGGGCAGGAAGGTGCATGGCTCATGAGACAGAAAGCAGCAGAGCCAGGGTGGTGACAGGCCAGGTCTCGGTGGGCCAAGACCGAGTGAGCTCAGCAGGGGACCGGGCAGCGGGACCGGGATGCTGCCAGGGCAGTAGGAGGTAACTGGATCCACGCTCCAGATGGCAGTCAGGCGGGGGCAGTGGGTGTGGGGTGCAGGGCGCCCCACCCAGATCTCGCCTCTGAAGGGAGACCAGGTCCCTGGTGCTGGCAGTACTGCTCCTGGCTCAAGGCCTGCCTTGCCCTCGTCCCCCTCACAGGCAGGGATGAGTGGATGCACTCAGGACCTGTCTGAGAGGTCCCAGGGGACTGCGAGGGCCTGTGACAGTTGCATTTCTTCCTCTTCCTTCCCTCCCCCCTCTCCCATCTCCTGCAGGCGAACCCCCAGCTCGGAGTCTATGTCACAGGGAACCAAACCTCAAGTAACAGGCCACCAACAGCCGTCAGACCCCGATGTGTTTTCAAGGTCAAGTCCACAAGGACTGAGACCCTATCATCATTTCGTGGAGCAACCAGAGACAGCTCCACAGCTCTGTCATCTGCTCAGGCCCAGGGACTGCTGAGCGTGTGACCTCTAGGGCCACAGCCTCTTCTGCCCTCCCTGCTCCCAGGCGCAGATTTGCTTACTGGGAGTTTCCGTTTGTTTGTTTTTAATCTTAATGAGTTTTATTAGGCATTTTTATTCCGTTCCCCATTCTACTTCAAAAACGATTCATGGGTTCAACCCCCAGCCCCCCAAACTCTACTCAGATCTCTGCGGAAACGTAGAGTGACGCCCACCCGTACTGGGAGCTCCGGAGGGGCGAGCGGTGCTCCTCCTGCCCTTCCCCACCGTCCTGCCCTATCCTTGCTCTCCTTGTTTCTGTCTCCACCTTGGCCTCCGTCCTCCCTCCCTCTAAAGATCTGACTAGCCATGGGACACCGCCCACGCTGGCGCCTTCACCTGCCCTCCTCTGCTTCCTTCCAACAAGCCCAGGCCTGGCCTGTCACACCAGGTTGCTGCTGTCCCTCTGCCTTTGTGTTGATTTGCTGCCTCTGCCATCCAGACCTCCAGCTGGCACAGCACAGTACTGCAGGTTCTGTCCTGGGCTCTGCAGCTGGCTGTTTTGCTCAACCCTTGAAGAAACTGCAGGTGACTCAGGTCACTGGTACCTTCTCACCAAACCAAGGTTCTCTCCTGAGTCCTCACTCTCGGGGACTGTAAGGTTTTCAGCACAGAGCCCAGAGCCCGGTGGAGCCCTCTGTGTGGGCACTCTTGGCTTCTCGGCTTCCTCAGGCTACTTCTTGCTCGTCTTTCCACCCCCCTGCTCCCGGGTGCAGACACCTGCCTTCTACTCCCCCGCAGAGAGCTGCCCTATGCATTTCCGGTCGCTGGCATGCAGCCATTTCCTGCTGGTCAACCTGCCCAAACCAGACCACAGGCCCAGCTCAACCCCGCCCCTGCCTGTGGTCAAGTCAGCCCTCTCCCCTGGTTCTCCTGAATTTGTGCTGCATCCTCAAAACGTTGGGGGCCTTCCTGACTCCTCACTGACCTCCTGCCCTTTTGTGCAATTCCTTTCATTTCTTTAGAAGCTCTCAGGTCTTGGGCAGCGTGGCAGCCATAACAAATTCCATAGACCAGGTGCTCTGAACAGTGGCCCCTGCTCCCTCATGGTTCCGCAGCCTGGAAGCCCAAGGTCAAGATGGGGATTTGGCTTCTGGTGAGGGCCCTCTCCTGGCTGTGTCCTCATGTGGCCTGTCCTTGCAAGGGTGTGGACACAGGCATGAGAGTGCAGTGGGGGTGGGGAGCCCTCCAGGGTCTCTTCTTCTTCTTCTTTTTGGTACTGGGGACTGAACCCAGGGGTGTTTACCCACTGAGCCACATCCCCAGCCCTTTTAAAAATATTTTATTTAGAAGACAGGGTCTGAGTTGCTTAGGGCCTGGCAACTCAGTTGCTGAGGCTGGCTTTGAACTCGTGATCCTCCTGCCTCAGCCTCCTGAGTTGCTGGGACTACAGATGTGTGCCACCAGGCCAGGCCAGGGTCTCTTTTTATAAGGACAGTAAGCCTATCATTTCTATCACATGGGACTCACTCTCAGATATCATCTATCTGACCCTAATTATCTCTCATAGGTCCCACCTCCAAGTAGCATCCTGTTGGGGGTTAAGGTTTCAACATACCAGTTTGGGTGGGAATGACACTAACATTGAGTCCCTGACATCCCTTCTATTTCTGTTTGCTTTGGTCATTTGCTGGACTCCCTGGCTCCCAGCCCACACCATGACTGAGATCAATTTCCTGCTATGGCCTAGTCTGTGGCTGGTGGGGTTGGCTTTTCCTTCCTTCCCTCCCAACCCTCATCCTCCAGGCTCCCAATGCAGAAGGCCCACTTGTCCCCCCAGGTTGTACCCATGCTGAAGTGGCGAGCCGGCCGGTTCTCTGTGTCTCCAGTTGGTTACTTTTTCCATCGGCTATAGGTGCCATGTCCAGGTGGCCCAGAGTCTACAAGGCAGTGTGCATGTAGGAAGGGTGCTTCCTCAGCCACCAGAGCTGACGGCCCTGCCCCAGGCCAGAGAGCAGACACTTGAAACCCAGTAAGCTCTTGACTCATCCACCTTGAGAGACAAGGGACAGCCACAATATATCCTAAAGTCCAAGATGTGCGTTTTAACATTGCCAAAATCAAGGCGGAGCTTACCATCCGTGGTGTTCCACTGAAGTGTGTGTGTGCGCATTTCCTTCAGTGGTACATAAAACAGTGTCTTATCTTACAGTTGATGGCATCTTAGATTCTAGAAGCTATAAAGCTCAAGTACTGGTCTTGACTGTAGGAAAATTTCAAAAATATGTAAAGCATGCCACAGTGCAGAACGTTAGGTAGGAAAGAGGAGACAGAAAATAAACAGAACACTTTTCCCTCCCCAAGACCTTACTGTCTAGTTAGTGAAACAAGACAAAGAGAAAATCAATACAAAAATAGGTGCCAACACATGAGCAAGTGAGCACTGACGTGTCCAATGAGCATCTGAGTGTACAAAACATTGTTATCTGGGATCAAGATCTCAGGAATATTTCCTGGAAGAAGTGAACTGTGGTTTAAAAGGGAAGGAAAAGTGGGCCAGTGGCTAAACTGCTTAATTTAATGGGCACATTGTTTTCATGAGGTAGTAAAATTTCATGAAAGGGAAAGAATTTGGACAGATTATGAGCATCATATCTGGGATTTCCATGCATCATGGCTCAAGGCTCAAGACGACCAAAAGTTCTGTGTTCAAGTTTACTTTATTCCCTGAATCTTGGTATGATGGGCTGTTCACTGAGCACTGAATATCTGGTTGTTTCTCGTCACAGCTGATGTCTGCAAGGACACCTCCATGTCCTTCTTGGCACTGGGGGATCTGCCCCTTCTGGAACAGGTGGGGACAAACAGCTTTGGCCCACAGTGCAGAGAGAGGAACTGGCTTGTGCTGGGAGCCTGATGGAAACTCCGTGGTGGAGGCCTCTGGGGCCACGCACAATACCCCATGTGACCCCCAAGGTGATTCCAAGTCAGCCTAGTGTCCCCTCTCCCTCCTCTGCAGACTCATCCTGACTCACAGACCTCGGGCCCAGAATCCAGTGGCAAGAGGGGCACTGACTCAGGTCACCCAGCTGCCAAGCCACATAGGCCACATCAGATGCATGCTAAACGAAATCTGTGGGAGGGGCGCGATTTCCATCTGATGGGCGCAGTAGAGGATGCTCAGACAAGCAATAAGTGGGGCTGTGTTTGGGGTCACAGTACCAGTTCTCTCTAAGCCCACACTCGGATGATGCCTGGAGGTGGACCACACTGCCCTCACTCACAGAATAGTAAAAGGCAGCATCTAACTGTCCACTCTCCATGCTCCAGCCATTCATGCTCCAGGAATTCACTGTCCTCATGGTCACCTATTAAAGGGGCCAGTTATCACTGCCCCCTCCTCGGCAGGGAGACTGAGGCAGAGTCTAAGTGGCCCATCCAGGTTAGCAGAAGCAGAGCACAGAAGGAGGCCCAGCGTCCCTGGGGCGGAGGGGGGAGCAGGAGGGCCGCGGTGGTTTCCAGCCCCACAGGGCCCTCCAGGCCGGGGGCTGCCCATATAAGGCTGCAGCCGTCCAGCATGGGTAGGGGCTCATTAAGGCCCCCAGCGGCTCAGCGTCCTCCTCCGCGGCGAGGAATGTGTGGAATCTCCTCCCTAGCTGCCGCCCACCACATGGAGGACCTTCCCCCCACCCACACCCGCCGGGATTAGCCCCCAGTCCCGGTGCTCGCGGAGCGCACTCCCCGCCCACCCGGGCCTCGGGCGCGTCCTCGCCGGCGCGCGCAGCTGCCTCGCCGCTGGGGGGAGCGCGGCGCCTCGGCGGAGCGGCCAGGGAGGCGGCGGCGCGCCCTCACCTGCCCCAGGCGCGGCTCATCCGGGCGGCAGCGGCGGAGGAGGAGGAGGCCGCGAGGCCGCCCGGGAGGAGGCCGGGGAGGAGCCTGGCGGGACGGGAGGGCGGCGCAAAGTGAAACTCCTGGAAGTTGCGGGAGCGCGAGGAGCCGTCGCGGGCTGCGCGCCCTCGGCCGGACGGGCCGGGCTCCCACGCACAGCGCACCCGGTGCCCATGGCCCTGAGCAAAGGGCTGCGGCTGCTGGCGCGGCTGGAGGCCACGGGCGAGAGCAGCGTGCTGCTGGAGGCGCGCGGCCGCGGCGACTGCCTGCTCTTCGAGGCCGGCACGGTGGCCACGCTGGGTGAGTGCCGCGCCCTCGCCCTGCCGCCCGCGGGCGGTGACGCCGGGAGGACGGGCGCCTGCCTGCGCCGGGACCTGGGGAGACCCGCGCCTCCCTGCCCCAAGGGGCCAGTCCTGGAAGGCGCGGGGACCGCCAGGACTGGGGATCGCGCGGAGGCGGGTGGCTTTTAGGGAGGAAGGGGCGCAGGGGATGGCCGCGAGCACCCCTGGCTGAGCATGGTGGCGCACGGCGGGCACCCGGGGTCTCCGTCTGCGCGCCCCGAGGGCTCTGTTCTTGGAGAGGCGGCTCTGACTTTTTACGCTTGGCGCTGGGTCAGAGCGCGTTGCAGATTCACGACGGTCCCAGGGGACTGACTTAGGAGTCAGCAGTCCTGGCCCGGCGCTGTGCCTGGCACTCTTTCTTATGCACCTGTTGATGAAACCAGTGATTGCCTTTAGGTTTGTGTTGGCTTGGCTCCACTCCCAAAGGGGATGGGACCCAAGCTCCGAAACACAGACTCTGGGGAAACCACAGATGGCATCTTTGTCACACGTTAATACTTGGTCGAGAGCGTCACTACTTTGGGCATATAGGACTTTGGAAGCAAATATACTATCTGGTGAATTTACCTGTATGCTGGATGTTAGAAATTGCCAAGCCAGCATATTTCACCTTTGGGCTCAGAAACCTTGAAACTGACATGGTGCTGAGGATTTGGAGACATAATCTCATTTAATTTTCACAATTTTACAAAACTATTGTTGTTATTCGCATATTACAGACGAGCAAACTGAGGCCTGAAGATGCTAAGACACTTGTTTGCTCAGGGTGACACAGTCCACCTGACTTGTGTGTGGCCATTTTGATAGTGTCATACAATTCATGGCTTCCTAATCCCTGGTTTTGTGGACAGCACTCAGGAAGAAGGTTCTAGGTGGCACCAAAGCCAGTGACATCAGGTGGGGTTGTTGGGTTTGTCATCATAAACCCTGGAGAGAGATTTACAAGAGCAGGTGTCCAGCTGCACCATCTTCCAGTGTTCTTAGCTCACCAAGTGCAGAATCACTTGTTCATTTGTACTTAAGATGTTCAGCAAATACAACTGCCACTCAAGCAGTGCTTCATAAATGTCTCCAATTGCGTGTGTGTGTGTGTGTGGGGGGGGGGTTATGGTGGTGCTGGGGATTGAACCCAGGGCCTCATGCATGTGCTCTCCCAAGGAGGTACATCCCAGCCCTCTGGGCTTGTTTTTACATTTATATGCATCAACTCCAGTTAGGACACAGGACTGTGTGCATGTATATATATGTGTGTGTGTGTCTCCCCAGCACCATTTCTTCTATTTCTGTTTCCTGGATCATTTAACATATAATTATCTGGATTGCTTTCAGTCACTTGATTACTTAAACAGTGTCTCCAGTATTCTTTGCATTAAAGTGCGTAGCAAATCATGGATTAAATTATTATCAGATTATTCCATTTTTGGCTGTGTCCTGAAAAGTCCAAGTTTGGTCATTTTTTATGGCCTTGAAAGAAAACCACAGAAATTTCCATTCCATTTTAGTTGTCTACCTCATACCACATTTATCAAAACTGAGAGATTAATTTCATGACACAAAACTACCATTTCATCAAAAAGATTAAACTGTCCTTTGGTTGGATTACAGTGACATGAGGCAAGGTTCATACACATTTAAGGGTTCCTTTGAAGCCACTTGGAACAAAAAAGTACTTTTTCTAAAGTGAAGGTTTTTATATGATTAATGAAGGCGGCAGAGTGCGTGTCTTCCAGGGGAAATGGGCTGTGGGCTGAGGTGCCTTTCCCTGGCATTGGTGATGCAGCGCCCTGGGTTTATAGTAGAGGTGATGAAAGCAGTTGGCATGTCCTTAGCTCATGTGCAGTCCACACTTGTCTCTTAACCTATCATTTGTTTTTTGGTAGACCGCAGGCTAAATACTTATGCTTTTAAAGATTGTTTTTTTTTTTTTAATTGAATGAAATGAAACTATTTTTAAAAAGCAGCTGTGCCTTTTGATGGTATTCCTTGTCCAGAGGCTTCTGAGGGAGCGTTCAGTGACTAGAAGTTGTTTCCAACTTTGAAGACACCCTAAGTGCACACATGGGATACATTGACGCTGACCTTGAAATTCCCGTCTGTGCTCCAGGGCTGGCCAGCTGAGTTGCTGTGCTTTGCTGTTCTCAGTGAGGTGAAAGGCGCTCCCCCTGCCCCCAGGAAGGTTGCATCTCTCCTTTTGTGGGGACAGTGCACTTGTCCTTTCCCTGAGAGTATGGGGTGGGGACAGCTTCCTTTTCTCTTTGGCTGTGGTTTTTCTGTGATGGATGTCCCCAGTGAGTAACAGGAGCCTAGGACACTAGAGGTGTGGGCTGTTGCCATGTGGGTCATGGTGTTCTTGGCTCCTGCGTGGCTCCAAAGCCTGCCCAGCTCTGTGTCAGGTGCACACTACTGCTTTTACTGGGATCAACAGGTGATGAGGTGGCTTGGCTCTCCCACCATGAGCACGGGTTGCCAGCACCTTCCTGCACATTTCACCCTAAGGATTCTAGTTGGAGGAACGTCTGTCACTGGAAGGGCTCAGCGGTTCCTTAGTGTTTTGGGTCTTTATTGGTGTTCACAGGAAAAGCTGATGATGCATGATTGGTTGGCAGTTGGACTTCTCCCTCTTACCTGCTCTAGCCTGTCCTCACCTGTTCCCACCTGTCCTCCTATTCTTCCAGTGAACTTTGCAGATGTTCTCTGTACAAGGCCACCTAACCTGCTAATGAAAAGACTATTTAAGGAATAGTTCCAAATTCATGTTTCCAGAAGAATTAAGCTGAGAATCTTTTAAATGGATCAGTGGGAGCAGGAATTCCAGAGACAGAAAAACTAAAGGTATAGGCACCAGTTTAAAAGGTTTTCACCAAGTGGATGTGGTGGTGCTTACATGTAATCTCAGCAACTTCAGAGGCTTAGGCAGGAGAATACTGAATTCAAGTCCAGCCCAAACAACCTAGTGAGACCCTATCTCAAAATAAAAATGAAAAGGGCTGGGGATAGGGCTCAGTGTTAGAGTGCCCCTGGGTTCTATTCCCAGTACTGCCAACTTCTGTGTAGATGACAATCCAGCGTCCATTGCCCCCATCCAGAATCAGCATCCAGATGTTCTCTTGTTCACACATCCACACAAGAAGCACTGGCCTTTTACAGCTGTCTCTTTTAGACTTTGGATGGACCAGATGGAGGGAAGCGTGCTGGTTGTTGATGGAGTTCACCTGCTTTCAGAGTGAGCGTCAATGCTCCAAAGTTCAGTGTTCTCCAAACAGCCGGCAGGTCCCCATGTTTACACGTGGGTTTATGCCTGTACCCTGCCTCTCCACCCTCCCCCCCCCCCCCCCCCCGCATTGTTACTGTAGAGTGTGGGCAGCAGGAGGGAGGATGGGGAAGGAGGCTTGGGAGACTTCATTAGTGCATGTCCCTGCCTTTCTTTGAGCTGCTGTAGAAACAGCAACTGCTCTTCCCAGCTGCCGGGTTTTCACGGAGGCCACAATCAGGCTTGGCTGGAGAGGGTGAGGTGGCTAAAGAGCCCACCCAGAAACCTTGGTGTGGACTGTTGCCTTGGTCACTTGCTTGGGCTTCATGGCTGGAATTATTTGGTCAGTGACTTGAAGCCTGACTGGTTAAGAGCATTGGAGAGAACCTGAGAGGTGGCCAATCTGGGAATGCTCCTGGACAGAGGTGGACGCACAGGTGGGGGGTAGAGGGCTGGGTTCCCGACTTGGGCTGGTTGGCCTCAGAACTCCTGTGGTCCCTTTCCTGGCTGTAGGTCTTGTCAGCACAATGATGTTCACAGAAATGCAGAGCAGTTGGATGTGTCCTCTCCCTCTGGTCTTTTTTTTAACTTTGTCCTTTTGATTGTGACTTCAGATTTCAGATCTTGCCAGGCTCTTGTTTTGGCTGCTTGTCTCAAAAACTTTGTTTTTAACTTTTAATTATGAGAATGTTTAAACATACACAAAAGTACAGTCAATCTCCATGGATCCATCCACCGACTCACACACACACACACACACACACACACACTCACTCTCTCTCTCTCTCTCTCTGTTGACAGTTACCCATATGGTGTCAGATGTCTTTTGCTTGTCCCTGAAGAAATAGAAGAAATATTCTATTTCTTCATTTGTATGTGGTGCTGAGGATCGAACCCAGGGCCTCACACGTGCTGCTGTATTATATTTTTAGTTGTAGATGGACACAGTTTCTTTGTTTTATTTTTATGTGGTGCTCAAGCAAGCGCTCAACCACTGAGCTACAATCCCAGCCCTTGTCCCTATATTTTTAATGAAAAAAAAAAATGAATCTCCTAAAATTTAGTTTTCTCAATGCCAGGCAAGATTTTGATTTATTTGGACTGGCTTTTTTTTTTTTTAATTTGCATTTATATATGTAAGTTCAAATTTTATTTTATTGTAAATTGGCAAATTCTATTTATGGGGTTCAAAGTGATGTGGACTTGTGTATGATGAAATTAAGCTGATTACCATATCCACCACCTCAGTACCTGTTCTGTGTGAGACCATTTGAAATTAACTCTTAGTGATCTTGAACTATCCCAATAGGCTCTCATTACCGTAGTCACCAGGGTACATGAGTTCACAGTTTACTTGATGAATGTCATTGTGACCAACAGCAGAAATGGTGGTGTGAACGGATTCTGAGGTTCTGTACAAATACATGTTTCAAAGCACAGTGGCCACTGGGATGGAAGAGCCACAGGGTGGAAGAAGAGGGCACTCTGGAGGGCAGCAGTGGTGGGCACAGGAGGAGAAGGTCTGGGCTCTCCCGGGGCACCACCCCTGGCCCTTGCACAAGAGAGGACAGAGGAGCCCTGGCCACCTGACCTTTGTGCTTGTCCTTCTGGCCAAGCTCCTGCTACTCAGTACCCTGGAGTTTGCTATGCAAATGGCCCAACCTGCTTCCTTAGCCTGCTTCCTGCTTCAGGGGCAAAGGGCTCCTCCC